TAAAATTATACTAAAATTATATTAAAATATATTATATGAAATATATGATATATTAAAATAATACTATATTAAATGGCATTATTATAAAATTACATTATATTACATTAATATTATATTACATTATATTATATTATGTTACACTAGATTATATTATTATATTAAAAATACACTAAAATCATATTAAAATTATATTATATGAAATATATATTATATTAAAATAATATTATATTAAATGGCATTATTATAAAATTACGTTATATTATATTAATTATATTATATAGCATTATATTAAACTATATTACACTATATTATGTTATACTATATTATATTATATTATTATATTACAATTATACTAAATTATATTAAAATATATTATATGAAATATATATTATATTAAAATAATATATTAAATGGCATTATTATAAAATTATATTACATTACATTATATTATATTATATTATATTATATTATGTTACACTAGATTATATTATTATATTAAAAATACACTAAAATTATATTAAAATTATATTCTATGAAATATATATATTAAAATAATATTATATTAAATGGCATTATGATAAAATTATGTTATATTATATTAATTATATTATATAACATTATATTAAACTATATTACACTATATATGTTATACTAGATTATATTATATTATTATATCAAAATTATACTAAAATTATATTAAAATATATTATATGAAATATATATTATATTAAAATAATACTATATTAAATGGCATTATTATAAAATTACATTATATTACATTAATATTATATTACATTATATTATATTATGTTACACTTGATTATATTATTATATTAAAAATACACTAAAATTATATTAAAATTATATTATATGAAATATATATTATATTAAAATAATATTATATTAAATGACATTATTATAAAATTATGTTATATTATATTAATTATATTATATAACTTTATATTAAACTATATTACACTATATTATGTTATACTAGATTATATTATTATATTAAAAATATACTAAAATGATATTAAAATATATTATATGAAATATATGTTATATTAAAATAATATTATATTAAATGGCATTATTATAAAATTATATTATATTATATTATATTATATTATATTATATTATATTATATTATATTATATTATATTATATTATATTAATATATTAAATGGCATTATTA